GATACCAACCCTTATATATAAATAGATATTAAGCCTGGCCCTTAACCTATAAAAGAAAATATAAAAAGATTTTAGTTATATAAAATTAAGCGTTTGCTAGCTAAGAGATAGACCTTAAATAATTTTAAGTATTTAATAAAGTAGTTAAAATGGTTTAATTACTAGAACACGTGGTATTATAAATCTTTTTTACAAGACGCGAAGAAAAGGATTAAAAAATATAAAAAAGACTATCTAAATAATGCAGGCTTGTAAATTAACAAGCGCAAGTAAATTAAGTCCCCCGCTATAAAAATACAGGAAGTTTTTAAAAAAGGCCGCGGCCGCCCTCGCAAGAACACTTCTTAAAAAAATAATAGTTTAACTTATATTATTATTCTTTATACCTATCCTAATATTTTTTATAAATCCTAACTAATTTATTAACTACCCCGCTATTACTCTTACCCCTAAGTTTTACTATTATTTTATGTTTATATAGCTATATTAACTTTGCAACTTCCATTAATATTACCCCGCTTTTTTACTTTACCTTTTCCTTTTTTTATTATTTTACTTTACCTTTTTTTTTTTTTATTATTATTCTTTAACTCCACCTATCTTGTTATTATTTTTTATGTTTTTTTAAACAATAACTCCATAACTTTTATTACTTTGATGTTGCCCTGCGTCTTTACACCTATCTTGTTATTATTTTTTATATCTTGTTAAGTAATAATTCCCTTAACCTAGAACTTTTGCAATGGCCCCTAAATAAAGGTAAAATTTTATTAGCAGCGCCACGGCAAGCTTGGAGTTAAAGATTAAGGACTTAAAAAAATAAATTAAAACTTTTTAGGCTAAGAAAATGTCTCACGCCCTAAGCAAAATAGCAAAAACAAAAATTATTTAATAATTAAGGGCTAAAGTTGCGGAACTTTGTATTTTTAATAAAAAATTAAAGGTAACTTAAAGCAAAGCTCTAGTAAATAAACTTTTTTAAGTAAACCAGGCTAAAAAAATAGGGTATAGGAATATGCTTGGCCTAAAGCTAGCCTTTTAAATAATAGTTTTAGTCCGTAATAATAAGATTAAAAAAGTAACTAATTACCCTAAAAAAAACTAATAATAATATTCCATTGCTATTAATAACGGCTATTTTTAAGATAAATTAAATAATATACTTTAGTTTAAATAAACATTTTTATATATGCATTTATAGTACAAGGTGTTTATTAATAGTAATACTTGCTTTTTATTAAATAAACTGCCAAAGTAACCAGTGCTAGATTTTAAAAAGGTAAAGAAAAAATTAAAAGTTTTAATTAGTATATTAAATAATAAAACTTTACCTATTTATAAGGTCTTAAGCACGAACCTAAGAAAAGGTACATAGTATATGTTAAAGCCCTTGTAACCTTAGCTAAAATATAATAAAAAAAAGTTTTTTATTATTATAGCTAATAACTAAATATTTATATTACTAGATAATATTACTTGGTACCCTAAAGTTAAATAGCATGCAACTACTAAATAATTACTTTATAACCACCTAAAATCCTTAGCTAAGAATGCACTTAAAGCTTATTTAAAAGATGTTTTTACCCAAGAGTGTGAGATAAAACTAGTTTAGAAAAAGTGGGTGGCTAATTATAAAAAATAGGAATTCTTATTTATTAAGAAACTTATTAAGAACCCGGCAACCTAATGGCCCTTTAAAACTATAGCATAAAAAATTACTAATTTTAAATTTATAAATTTTATTATAAATAGTTTAAAACCTATTATTAATACCGTGCGTGTGCCTACTATTATAAATAAGGCTATTTACAAGTTTTAAAAGGAACTTATAGTAAAAGTTAAGAAAAGAAAGGCTTAAAAGTTAGTGGATTACTTAGCTACTTTTACTAGTAAAAAAATGGCCTATTAACATGTGAAATTACTTAATTCTATGCGCCTAGTATTAAAATATTTATATAAAAAGTTTTTAACCTAGTTAATAAAAGTCTATAATAAAAAAGATCCCACCATACTAATATTTAAAGATAATCTTGTTACTAATCAAAAACTTGTTAATAAGTTTATAAGTAAATTAAGCTTTATCTAGGGAGACATTAAGTTACAAAAGCAGTAAAAGTAAAGCAATTAGCTTATAGAAAATTTTCCCTTTATTTTTATTATTTTTATAATAGTTATTTCCACCCTGTTTTTTTACTTCTTATACCTGCGGAGTTTTTAATGTTGTCTTTGCAATAGTCTAGGCAATACTTTTTAATTATTATTTCCTAATATAACTATAACTTTGCACCTTTTTTTCTCTTGTCTATAACCTTGTTGCAGTCACTAAATCAGGGGGGACTATTGTGGTTAATCCTGCGGATATTGCTAACTTAGACCTTAGTTATCATCTAGATAGTTAGTCGGCCTCTAAGCCATCCTTAGTTAATTAATTAATATCTTCTTCAGTCATATTGACGTTTCTTCAGGTGTCGCCTGGCCACTACCACAACAATTAAGATTTTTATTTAGTATTTTTTTAGGCCTTAAAGCATGGCTATACCATATAGTTAGTAGCCTTTAGCACCCTAGGACTCTTTTAAATTAGGTAGTTAAATAATATTATTAACTCCTAGCACATATGGGCTACTATAGTAATTTTATTTTTTAATAAAAAAAAAAATATTATTATTTAAAATTATAATCCTTGCTATAATCCCGCTGGCCTACACCTTAAAAACTTTATATTTAAGGCTTAATTACGCCTACTATAGCTGCTAGGCTAATATTATACTTTTTAAAATATATAATATTATACTAGCACTAAATTCTCCGGGAAAAATTAATACCTAAAATATATATTTTAATAAATTTAATATATTATTATACTAGGTAACCTGCCCTACGCTAGGGATTAAAATCCTTAAATAGCTTATTATATATTAGTTTACTACTACTAGCTAATACCTTTTATATAAACTAGGCCTTAATCTTGCTTTTAAAATAGCTTTTACACGCTTTAATATTTATTATTACCTTTTTAGCTATAAAGGGGTTATATAATTTATAAAAAAGCTAGTAAATATACTAGCTAACCCCTAAATTTATAAATTACTTAACTTATTATTTATTATTTAATTTACCCTGGGCCACCCGGTGCCTAAAACTTTTATTAAAAGTTTATTATTTTATATATTTTATTATTATTTATTTATATTTTTAGGGACTGCTCCGGCCTATTAATATTTAAAGCTTTTATTAATATTTACTATTTTTATTATTTTAATTACTAGCTTTTTAATACTTGCTTATAAATTACGCCTTTAAGGGAGCCTTTTTTTAATACTAATAACTTATAGCTTATTAATTTAAAAAAGACTTTTTTCACGCTGGCAGCCTATAGCTTACTAATTTAAAAAAGTTCTTGGTATAAATAAAAGGGAGTGTTAAAAGTAGGTGCCTAAGGTTACTAAAGGTTTTAAGGCTTTGGTAAAAAAAGGTTCTTCTGGCCTAAATAGCCACCTGTAAAACTCTTTATTTATCCCTAGAATATTTAGCTTAGTATACCATGTAATACAAGAGACTTCTACCTACTATAACTAGTTATCCCTTTTAGTAGGATCGCGGTCCCGACTTTCGCCCTCTGCCTGCACAGAAAACAAGGAGTGAGTGAGACATGCCGAAATATCTTCTGCTGCGCATTGGACTTTGCGTCAGAGCGCGCCATGGTCAGTCAGTTTGCAGAATCGTAAGATTCTTACATTTCCAAGGTAAGATGAAGAACAACCCTGTGTTGGTAGAGGTGGACTGCCTTACGTCGTGCGGCCTTACAGCCTCAGGCAGCAAGCTATGTAGAAGCAACAGAGGACCTCATGTCTCATCACAGTGATCTGGGTTGCTTGGGAATGCAGTGCCTGGCAAACTGATCTACTAATCCATGCAGATCTTTGGGCGAGATCAAGCCTTGATGGCTCTGTATGCAGACTACGTAGAAAGCCCTATCGACTTCCACGCTTTGCCACGATCTTTTCAGGTACGAGAAGGGAAATAGCATCCGACTTCAGGTCCGAACAGCAAACTCGTCATGATCCTCGTTGAACCGCTGGATGGAACGGGGTCTCTACGCGGCCAGTGTCTTAGGTCCTAACCAGGGCAAGGAGATCTCTGCTGTGCGAGATTCCCAGCTTCTATACAGACTTCCTTGCATATGTTGCGTCGGGTCGGCAATAAACAACCACATCGGGAGGGAAAAGGATTCCGAGATCAGGTCACTGCGTCATGATCGCCCTGAACCGCCGGATGGAATGGGCCCTGTACGCGTCTGTCTCTGTTTACTGTCCAACTCACGGACCCTGTGTACAGCTGAAAAGTTGATTCATCATTAGCGCCCATGAGGTAGGCGTCGCTATCTCGATGAAACGACAAACCAGATTGAAGGAACAGATATCTGACATGAGGTCACTGCATCCGATGGCCAGCACAGAATTCATCGATTAGATTAAGTTCATACGTCCAATGTCTGGAGTATATTGCTTCTTCCTCATAGCACGTCACTATACAGCGTCGCCAAGGACGCTGAGATCAGAGGCAGATCAGAGCCAGGCAATCGTACGGATCGGCAGACCTAGAAGTGGCCACGATCTTGTCGTACAGAGGACAATTAATTCATCATCCGGCGATCGTTGCACGATATTGAAGCAGAGGGATGGTTCGTGGAATGGTGTTGCCTTGGGACTCGGCCGGCATTGGCTGCCATTGAACAGCGACGGGATTCATGACGATGGGCCGTGTAATGATTTACATTGAGTGACAGGCCTGATGTCATGTTGTCTGCAATTAATAGAAACCGCGAACGTTGGGGGTGGAGCATTGCGTCGTGACAGCGCTGCGCTCACCCTGACGTCACCCCCCGTTTCCCCTGTCGACCCCGGATTCCAGCCTTATATAAGTCCCTGAATAGCATCGTCTTTGGCCAGCATCAATTCAATCACAATCAATCAAACATCAAAGCAACAATATCCAAAATGTCTTACAATACTTCCAACACCGCTGGCCCCCATACCTCCGACATGGCCAACCGGGTCGACCCTCGTGTGGACAGCGACCTCAGCCGCACCCAGTACGGTTCGCACACCGACACCACTGGAACTCGAGGCACTGGCAACGAGTTCGCCGGCACTCAGTCCTACGGCGGCAACACCTCCACGACCGGTCCTCACAGCTCCAACATGGCCAACAAGCTCGACCCTCGCGTCGACAGCAACCAGTACGGCACCACTGGCAACACCTACGGATCCAGCACACACAACGCCTCGGCCACTGGCCCTCACAGCTCTGGCATGGCCAACCGCGCCGACCCTCGAGTCGACAGTGATCAGTATGGCAGCGCTGGCAACTACGGATCCGGCACACACAACGCCGCTGCCACTGGCCCTCACAGTTCCGGCATGGCCAACCGCGCCGACCCTCGCGTCGACAGCGATCAGTACGGCAGCGCTGGCAACAACTTCGGAGGTGCTTCTCACGGCACCTACGGCTCAAGCACACACAACGCCTCTGCAACCGGTCCTCACAACTCTGGTCTAGCCAACAAGGCTGATCCCCGCGTTGATAGCGACCGATATGGCAGCGCTGGCAACAACTTCGGCAGCAGCACGCACACCACCTCTGCAACTGGCCCTCACAACTCTGGCCTCGCCAACACGGCCGACCCCCGCGTCGACAGTGACCGATATGGCAGTGCTGGCAACACCTATGGCAGCAGCACCACCCACGGCACACACAACGCCTCCGCTACTGGCCCTCACAACTCTGGCGTTGCCAACAAGGCTGATCCTCGCGTCGACAGCGACCGATATGGCAGCACTGGCAACACTTTCGGCACTGGCGCTGGTGCTGGCACTGCCACCCACGGTCGTGACAGCACTTCCACCAAGACCTTCGAGGATGCCCACTTCGGGACTGGCCCTCACACCGGAGGCAGCACTTCCCACGGCACTGGCAGCACTTCCACCAACGCCGGCCCTCACAACTCCAAGCTCATGAACAAGGTTGACCCTCGCGTCGACAGCGACGTCGACAACCGCGCTCGCTACACCCCTGGCGCCACTACCACCGGCAACACCCACACCGCTACCTCTGGCAACGCTGGCCCTCACACCTCCAACATGGGCAACAAGGCCGACCCCCGCGTCGACTCTGACCGTGACCACCGCGACAACGCAGGCCCTCACAACTCAAGCATGATGAACAAGGCCGATCCCCGCGTCGACAGCGACCGCGACAACCGCGCTAAGCACACCAACGCGCCCCACGGAACCACCGGCGGTCCCACTGGCACTGGCGTCACCGGCACCAGCGCCACCGGAGCTGGCACTACTTCTACCTCCCACGGCGCCCACTCCGGCGAGAAAGTTCACTCCTCCAACCTTCTCAACAAACTCGATCCCCGCGTCGACAGCACCACCGGCCAAATGAAGAACAGCCCCAGCAACACCTCCCACACCACCTCGGGAACCGACGCCTACTCCTCCGGCGGCGCCGGCCACTCTGCCACGGCTTCCAACAGCGCCCACCACACCGGCCAGCCAACCGCCACTCGCACCGGCGAGACCGCCGGCAACGGAGTCAAGGGGGCCGCTGCTGAGATCCACGCAAGTCCTACTTCCCGCGCTATCTAGAGCCCCTCTAACAGCGTCATAGGGTATGGGCGAGTCTCTACGCGGAGGCTTGAACACCGCTGTTGACCGCGCCTTCGGACATGAGGAGGGCGTCGCGAAGAACAGCGCTGTTGCGAACCAGGGCGAACGCGAGATGAACACTGGACGCTTCCATTAATCTCGTTGGATCTGACTACGCTTTTCTCCCTATGGGACTTCTTATGAGTGATGGATTATGATACCGATTGATATCACTGCGATCTGGCTTTCTGTTTTACTTTATTGTACTATAGTCTAATTCACGATTTCTACTTCATACTTTCTCTTCTCTGGTAGACTTTCCGAATACTTTGGTAGTCTCGATGTGCGGATTACGATCGATGTTCTCATCATGACATCATTGTATGGAGCAACTGTATGGAGCAATTCTTGGAAGAACAACCTCACCCGTGGCACTGAAACATATGGTACTGGCTTAATGTATTGCTAGCAGCTGTTCACACCAGAGCAGCTTGGCTGCAGGAATTGGTCATACAGGAGGGGCATCTATGATTCAGTTGGTCTCCCAGGCCACGTTCTACGGCGGCTACGTCATTCCGGCCGCCTAGCTTGTATGCTCTGGCGAAGTTCTACTCTTGAGTGACTGTTCCAGGATACTTTACCAGATGCGTTGTAGATGTACCTTTGCTAAAGACGTGTTATTGCCAGTTCTCAACGCCGGAACACCGTAAACTCAAACCCCAAGAACGCAACATACGCAGCCAGTAGAACCAGCCCAGCAAAGCGGCTTGGTCCGAAAAAGATCACCGCCGTAAAGCACGCCGCTGACGTCCAGACCATGGCCAGGTCAAAAAAGACGTAGCTATCTGTGTCTTCTTCTACATTGCTCAGACCTCCTGCAAGAGCAACAACTCCAACGCACAGCGTCAGCAGAAAGATATTGCTCCCTGCGGTAGTTGCAACGACAATGCCTCCTTGTCCACGGATACCCCCAAGCACCGAGAGTAGCTTTTCTGGTAGAGTTGTAGCAAACGCGATTACTGTTAGGCCGAAGACTGTGCCTGAGAGGCGGAGGGAGTCCGCGATGGAGCTAGCACTGTGCGCGAGGATGTAGCCAGCTAGGGCCAGTGCCACGAGACCCTGAAAGAGCTGGAGAAGATCGAAATAAAGTCGTCTTGCACTCCTTCCAGCATCGATTTCCTGTGCAAGCGGGTGTGTGTTCATCAAGAGAGGCGAGTTTTCCGAAGCTTCAGCTGCCGCGCCTTGTTCTGGTTCCCAATTATTCTCGGGATCATCAGCGCGCGCTTCATCGTCGCCAGCGTCGCTGTCACTATCCGACAACTCAGGAGGCTCAGCGACGCTTTTATAGATTGCATACCCAACCGACGCGATATAGTGCACAAAAAGCGCGACAAGTATCCCACCTGTAACCCTACCAAGCAGATCGAAGAATGCCAAAGCCACAAACACGGTCGTAACGGCCAGCTGTAGAAACGAATAGATCTTTGCGCTCCTGTCGAATTCCATCTCCGTTCCGCGCGGTTGACAGAGAAGACCTAACGAAAAGGCACCGAGGATATTGGAGATCGCGGATCCCATCACGTTGCCCAGGGCTAGGGGGCTGCGGTGTTGGATGAGTGCTGCGATGACTACAACTAGCTAGCTCACTGGATTAGGACAGGTATCAACTTATCGGAGGGGAGCTCAAATTGTACTTCTTCGTATTCAGCGCCCGCTGTTAAGAGAGCGATCAGGGTAGGCGAAATGCCTAGCCGTCGTCCCACGATCACGGTGTGGTCGAGGAATTTGTCTGCGCCATATTCGAGAAGAAAGACTCCGGCGATGAATACTGCAGTGTTGAAGGAGAAATCGTCCCAGTTCATGACTTGGATATCCAACGGTGTAGTGTAAATTAATTTGTTTTAGCTTGATGCTCCGAATGAAGGAGGAAGGCAGGGCGGTTGTTGCCTAGCGGACATCACGACACCAATATATATCTTCGTTTTGGTCAGGTCTCAAGTACTACGAGGTTGCAGCACAGCATATTTCTTGAGACCACTATAGCAAGTTAAATTACATCTTGGCTATCAATTTCAATTCATTCACTATCGTAGAGTCCATTTCCGACGCGTGGAAACCAGACAGCAATCAGGTCGTTTATTGTGACATCGCCAAGATCTTCCGTGGACCCGCAAGACCAATTAGAGTTAGCGCCCACATCAAAAGCCGGAGAGACGCCAGATAATGCGAGGAGCTTTAGACACCTCTCCAACACCGTCTGACGCGGTTATTCCCACGATCGCACGAACGCGTTCCCCGGTCTCATCAAACTGGGATGAACTTAAAGTCGTGACGAACTTTCGAATGATCTCTGGAAATATTTAGGCCGTCTTCCCTGCTTCTCCCTCGCCACGGGCAGCAGCCTCGATCGCGGTCTGCGGCGCGTTCCTGCGGTCGAGGAGAGACTTCACGCTGACAGCTACACTTCGGAGATATGTCGTCGGTTCTCCGCTACGATTCGCGAGTCATGAAACGGATCTTTGACAACGTGTCAGCTTCGGGGATATTTTGTGCGACAACTTCTAGCCTGGCTGCCTACTTGCTGCGGAGTCTCCAACGCGACCCAACGTGACCTTCAATCGGCAATGAATTCCTTACTGTCGACCTCGCATTATCCTGGTGGATAATCGTTACATTTCCGAACCATGACAAGTCGAAGGCTATCGCGTTTGAGGTGGAGGTTGGCGATGACATCCATGGCGCACCGTCGCTTTCACAATAGCTACGGAGTAGATGCAAGAAGACTACAAGACACGCTTACACCCAGGGAACAAAGCCGCTGACGTCGAACGAAGCATCTAGTCTGGGACCAGAAATGATCTACCTCTAGCGTCGCCCTCCCGGCTGTGGCTGGCAAGGTATATCGGAAGAGCTTTCTGAGCCTGGGGATTGGAGAACGTTTCCAGTTTCAAGGTTAAGCATTGAAATTAGCGATCGACATCTATGGATACAAAGAGAGGTTCCGGGGTTCAGAGCAAAAGAGCAGGTCTGGACGACGCGCCGTTTGCCCAACTCAAACCTTGCCAGAAGTCGTTGAGTTCGAGCGAATGCTGGAAACCGGATCGGCCTGGCCGTGCATCCAATAAACGTTATTCGAACCATGAACTGGATGGTGGAATATTTTGGGGGCCGAATCAGCGACTTAAGCATCCCCAAGAGTCTTGACCACTCTTGACCGGACTTGACACTCCTTGGGGCTACCCCAGATCCGGGGTCCCGTTCAGATGACATGCCCATGTGGAACTGCGGGTTGTGATAGGCCGGTCAGACTATAGTACCCCAGACTTTGACCATCCGGCTGGCTCGGACGTTTCTCTCATCCAGCATTGGCAATGATATGACATCTCGCGTCGGACCACTGGCTGTCATTCGCATGCATCGTCATGGAGTGGCGCTATAAGCCGCAGTGTCATGGCCGCAATGCAGATGCTGGTGGGGTTGATAAATTCCATCCCTCCCCTGGTCTGACCTGGGCTTTTTCTTTCCATTGCCAATCCTGATTCTTGCTTCTTCGGACAGAATGGACCGCAACAACTCTTCGGGCAGCAGCCACGATGCTGGAGAGTCCAGCTTCGATCATAGAGAGAAGCCTAGGACCCACCACATCTATGATGTGGAAGGCCAGGACCGCAGCAAGCTGAATGCTATCTTTGAGAACCCTCTTGCCGGTGTCCCCCGAGATGAGCTCTTTGATGACGTCGATCGGTTCTGTCAGAGATATGGACTGACGGAGCACAAAGAGCTCTTTCGTAAGGGTGCCCTTGTATCCCAGAACCCTGCAGTGGCCGAGACCTTGCCCGACTTGACGGAGGATGAACGTCAAGCTCTGCGCCGCGAGACAACCCACAAGTGGTCGCAGCCATGGCAGCTCTACTTCATGGCCAGTAAGTTAGCGCGAGTCTAGAAAGACGCCATTACTAAGACTTGCGTAAAGCGATGTGCTCCATGGCCGCCGCCGTGCAGGGAATGGACGAGACCGCCAACAACGGCGCCGTCGTTATCTATCCTAAGGTTCGTGCTAATGTCTAATACATGACCATGCGCTAACCTCCACAGCTCCTCGGCATTGAATCTGACCGTTTCTCGCCAATGATGCAAGACTATATCACTGGCCTTGTTGTCGGCGCCCCCTATCTGGCTTGCGCCATTGTCGGCTGCTGGCTAACTGAACCACTGAACCGAGTCTTCGCACGACGAGGAACCATCTTCATCTCTTGTGTTGTTGCTGCTGTTGCATCAATCTGGGAAGGTGTTGCCAACTCCTGGGTCAACCTGTTCCTTGCTCGCTTCGTCCTCGGTCTTGGTATTGGCTCCAAATCCTCCACGGTCCCAGTGTACGCCGCCGAGTGTGCCCCTGCACCTATCCGTGGAGCATTGGTCATGCAGTGGCAAATGTAAGGCTCATGAGCGACATTGTTTGGCTGTTCCCTGCTAGGTATACTAACGATCAACAGGTGGACCGCCTTTGGTATCATGCTTGGCAACATCATGGGCGTGGCCTTTATGAACCTGGAGGAAGACCTCAGCTGGCGCCTTATGCTCGGCAGCACGGTCGTTCTTCCAATCTTCGTCTGTGCTCAGGTGTATTTCTGCCCCGAATCACCCCGTTGGCTTATTGAGCACAACAAGATCCCCAAGGCATTCCGGTCCTTCCAGACCCTGCGCAACACCGACCTCCAGGCCGCACGCGATCTCTACTATGCCTACATTGGTGTTGAACTCGAGCGTAAGGTCAACAAAGGCAAGAACTTCTTCACCATGTTTCTGGAGCTCTTTACAATCCCGCGTAACCGGCGCGCTACTTTAGCCAGTTGGATTGTCATGTTTCTGCAACAGTTCTGCGGCGTCAATGTGATTGCTTACTACTCCACTACCATATTCATGGAATCGGGATACAGTGTTCAGGATGCCCTACTTGCGTCAATGGGCACTGGTATCCTGAACTGGGTATTTGCTATCCCGGCCTTCCTAACAATCGACACTTGGGGTCGGCGCAACCTTTTGCTCTTCACGTTTCCATTTCTCGCGATATGTCTCTTGTGGAGCGGCTTTTCCTTTTGGATCGAAGAAGACGTCGTCGAAAGTCGGAAACGAGTGGCAATGGTTACCACTGGCATGTATCTCTTCGAAGTCTTCTACTCGCCTGGCGAGGGTCCAGTGCCCTTCACGTATTCGGCCGAAGCGTTCCCGCTGCACGTCCGAGAAGTCGGTATGTCTTGGGCGACAGCGACCACATGGTGTTTCAACTTCATCCTGTCGTTTACCTGGCCTATGCTCCTAAGGGCCTTCAAGCCGCAGGGTGCTTTTGGCTGGTATGCGGCTTGGTGTCTGATTGGATGGTGGCTTGTTCTGCTGTTTGTTCCGGAGACGAAAGGTAACCTTCTCCCCAGTCTAACCCGCTCCTTCGCTAACCAGATTACCATAGAACTCACCCTCGAAGAACTCGACCGCGTCTTCTCCGTCAAAACGCGCCATCACGCCGCGTACCAACTAAGGAACGCCATCTGGCATTTCCGCACCTGGGTGCTTCGGCAAAGACTTGAGCCGATGCCCAAGTTGTATGTGGTGGCGGACTCGCCTACCACACCGTCACCACCGGAATTTAGGGCAGGCGCGGATGTGGAGCCGAAGATGCGCACTGAGAATGTGGAGAATGTGACACCGACGGAGACAAAGAGGGAGTATGGAGCGGGGCCGTTGAGGCTGTAAGGGTGGTGCTTGAGTGCTATCACTCCCTGGATGATAGGAGGGATGTTGTAATATATGGCTTGGCTGACGAGTTGGAGTGCATGGCGTTGCTGATGGCTTGGCTTGGGTCGGGCTGTCACTGCTCTCAGGTTTGCAAACAGTATGCTTTCATCTTGCTCAAGTTGCCTTGATTCTAGGCTTCGAAAAGAACTGTGTATACTATTACCGTCAAGAATGTACTTCTTTTCGCGTTAAGCCTCCCCGAGGAGTATCGGTCAGACCATGTAGTTGTTCCCAGCCGGACCAAGCCAAGCTCTGGGCAGTGGGCACCCTCTTTCCAAACCTGAATATCCGGGTAGCGCACTCAACCTCAACTCCCCTCACAATACCCCGCTCTGGCCCCGTGTCTCTGACAATCTGCCTATGAATCATGCCCAGGGGTTGCTCGCATACTAACACTGGCCAAAGTGTTTACGTCTGCAGCCACCGGTCTTGCAAAACACGGGAAAACCCCGACAGCATGAATCCTTCAGAAGCCAAGAAAGCAACAGGATTGATTAGCAATGACTCCTTCGCCATGCTCGGCAGGACGGGTGGCTTAGGGTTATCGTCTTTCAAGGTTTGAAGGATGAATCCATCGAGGCTTGTCTTTGGAAAAGCTTTACTGACTTCCCCTTGCCCGCTGAGATGACATTTGACAGGAGCATACCCGTCCAAACCATCACCCCGACTTGCGCCAGCCGAGTTACCTCTTTATCGACGTCTTGCTGCCGAGGCGTTTTTCACCCTGGACGGCTAATCGTATACCCTTCCCCGCGCGTCACTCTTGGCTACTTCGCTACTTCCCCACATAACCCGCTGGCTAAGACCTCCAAAGCGCACCTTCTGACTTCCAAAAACACCGAGCAAGACGGCAAAACATCGGCACAGCACGAGTCAGAACACATGCCATAGCAGCCATGCCAATACCACCAAGCCGGACAGCCCCACGCGTGCACGAGCATCTACCCCAAACTCGCGCGAATCCATACCGGAAGCGGGACTGGTTGAAGAAAATCATGTAACGGCGGACAGGGTTCTCCACATCATGTCGGAGTTTACCCCGGATCTGGACTGGGGTTGGCTCTGGAGAATCCTGGCACAACGTTGTCTCTCCATAAAATGGGCCCATGGGGAATTCTGCCAAAGGGGTTATGGAGAGGACTGGAGAATACTGGAAAAGGACAGCTCGACAAGGGACAAGGTGGGACTGCACGTCATAGCCTCAGACTCTTTCCCGCCGCATTCCATCACGGCCGTTATCCGATGCTCCGATTATACTCCGTTTTCCTTGCGAGCCCGTCTATATACCGCAAAATATAAATATGGGGATCAGCGCCGCCGGGACGAAAACAAAGCTCGGGTTCAGTGAGCCGTTTTCTACGCAGATCTGCCGAGATGCTGTTCTCCTCGCTATTTGGACTCTCGGTCCTAGCCGCTACCACAACTGCCCTTCCAGGAAGTGTGAGTCGGAGGGCTGTATCCTCCCCGACGGCCAGTGTCAGGAACGGGACATACTCCGGCAAGCGCAATGCCAACTTCAACCAAGACCTCTTTCTGGGTATTCCGTTCGCCCAACAACCCGTGGGCAACCTGCGCTTCGCAATCCCACAATCCCTGAATGAGACTTGGGAGGGTGAGAAAAACGCGACAGAGTACTCGAACATCTGTGTCGGATACGGGGTGAGCACACATCGTCTCTCGCAGTATCTCTCTTGAGACATGCTAACAAGAGTAGACCGACTCTATCTGGTACCCCCAATCAGAAGCATGCCTAACCTTGAACGTTATCCGGGACTCCTCAGTCGACGAAACCTCCGCCCTTCCCGTAGGTGTCTGGATCCACGGCGGCGGCTTCTACCAGGGCTCTGGAGCAGACCAGAGATATAACATGTCTGCGATCGTTGCGAATGCGCAGGAGATCGGTAGGGCAACCAACTCCCGCCCTCCCCCCTTTTTCATTGTAGGAGCCATTCTAATGAGTGACTAGGCAAACCCTTTATCGGCGTAACAATCAACTACCGCCTCTCAACATGGGGCTTCCTCAACTCAGACGAGATTAAGGCCGCCGGCGCCACAAACCTCGGTCTGCGCGACCAACGCCTCGCCCTGCACTGGATCCAGGAAAACATAGCCGCGTTCGGCGGTGATCCGACCAAGGTCACAATCTGGGGCGAGTCCGCCGGCGGCATGTCAGTCGGTAACCACCTTATCGCCTACGGCGGCCGCGACGACGGTCTCTTCCGTGCCGGAATTATGCAGTCAGGCGGTTCAGTTTCCGCTTCACCAGCCAATACGACCGCCTACCAGTCCCAATACAACGAGATCGTCTCCAGGGCCGGCTGCTCCGGCTCGAGCGACACACTGCAGTGCCTACGCGAAGTGCCCTTCGAGACTCTGAACGCCATATTCAACACCACAAGCGGAAATCCTGCATACCGCTTCTCGCCAACCGTCGACGGCGACTTCATCCGGGAATGGGGGAGTGTCCAACTTGACAAGGGCGACTTCGTCAAGGTGCCCATCATCGCGGGAACAAACACCGATGAGGGAACCTCCTTTGGCCCGACGGGAATTAACACGACCGAGCAGTTCTACAACTATCTGACTGGTACGCTTACTCCGAACCATGCCCCCCTTACTCCATTGTGGCTTCAGCTAATATGAGTTCAGGCGGCGCATCAGGCTTCCGATACCCACCCGCCATCGCTCAGGAGATCCTCGACCTATACCCCGACGACCCCTCGCAAGGAATCCCCGAATTCCTAGGCGACCAGCGCGTCCCGAGCAAGGGCTGGCAATGGCGACGCACATCCGCGTACGCAGGCGACTACAGCATGCACGCCAACCGCCGCCGACAGACCGAGGTCTGGGCTGAGCATGGCGTTCCCGCATACGCGTACCGCTTCAATACGCGCGGCGGCGATGTACCCTGGATCAGCGGCGCGCAGCACTTTACCGAGGTTGCGTTTGTGTTCAAGAACTTTGAGGGCCTTGGGTATCACTATGGCCTGCCGTTTCAAGGGATGCCTGAGAGGTACAAGGACCTTAGTACGTTGGTCTCAAGCATGTGGGCCAGCTTCATCGTTGATTTGGATCCGAATACCGGTGTTGAAAGCGAGGTTTATTGGGAGGGATACGGGGTCGACGCACCCGTGGATATCGTCTTTGATGCGAACGTTACTGGGCTTGGGGCTTTGGAGGACGATACGTGGAGGAAGGAGGGCATTGATTTCTTGAACTCGATCTCCAGGGTCTTGTGGCGGTAGGAGATCGACAAGGTAGATATATAGTGATACGTCTTTATTGATAACTCTTCATGTTCATATACACAAAGCTAGGGCGGACTCGAGGGAAGGTGGGGTTGTTGATGATACGGTGGCCGGCACGAGGTCAGTAACCGCCCTGGTCATTCCAGTAGAGCGTTCCGCTGTGCACCATCGGCCCGGTGGCCTCCATCTCCCATCCGAACGTCATCTTGACCCATTGCATAAAGTGCGCTGCAACCTTGATATGACCGACGTCCGTTGGGTGCCACTGTGGCGCAATATCGTTCTGCTGAAGTATGCCGGTGGTGTCAAAGTAGTGAACGAAGGAGCCGTTCTCCTGGAAGAGCTCGTAGACGTCTCTGATCTCATCGACGAAGAGAGGCCCCTGAATGTACGTATCGCCCGATGCAGCGAAGCCGCCCCAAAGGGACTATTTTGTCAGCGAGGAAAGCGACAAGTGCGGTGGACGTACCATGAGAACGATCTGCGCGTCTGGCCATATTCCATGAATATTGCTGACTAGGTTGACATAGTCATTGAAGTAATCTGTGCTCGAGACGTTATTTGCAGGGTTGTTGTCGTTCGTTCCGATGTTAATGACGACCAGGTCCGCCGGCTGCTGGGCACTGAAGTCCCAGTCCGGAGGGTCATCTCCATGTATCTTCGCCGCACGCGGAGACGTGTCGCTCGTTTTGTAGTATTGGTAAGTCTACTCTGGTCAGCAGAGAGCTAACTGAACGGCTGCTTTACGCACTTGGCCTCTAGGGTTCCCCCAGCAATTTTGATCATGCAGGCAGATTCCGGGATAGGCCTGTTGTCGTTAGCCATGGTCAAAAAAGATGCATCAGTGCTCACCGTCAGGTGGTATTCGACATTCCCTAGGCCTGCAGCAAAAAGGTATGCCCAGGAAGAAAGGCCTTCGTAAGTCGCATAATCCCCGGAGCTCAAGCTATCTTCATTAGCCAAGTTCATTTCTTCTTTGTAGTACTTACGAGTCACCGATAACCTCGACCATCTTAGGAAATGGGTCGATTTTGTATATCGCAGCTTCTGGCTCGACGGATACACTTTCCAGTTGGACTGTATGCACGGTCAGCAGAGAACTGGCTGACGGGGACTACCTAGACATATCCGTAGGCCCAGTTTGTCACTGCCAAAGTTAGAACTGGAAGGAAATGTGGGAATTGATGGTACCTCTCAGTTCAAATGTTTGCTGCGTGCTAGACTCCCTTAAGTCGACACCAGTCGTCTCAGGCCCTACGAATTGGTAGGTGTCGTCTGCGGTTACGTTGGAGAACTGCCAATCCTGGCCTCCAACCCTGAACAACATGAGCGGAAGGTCAAGCTGGATGCAGAAGTAACTCACCTGTACGCGACGAGTACACCGTTGTCGGTATGCTCACCGAAGCTCAATGCCAACTATATCGTCAGCTCGCCCCCGATCAGCTCTGGGCTCCTTACTTTCTCCCCGGTAAAGGCGAACTTGATGCCAGCGGTACTGCAGTACTCAGCTTCAGATACTAAAATGTAGGCGAACAACTTACGACCACCCTTTATTCTCCATTAGTAGCCTTCAGGGATTTTTGGATTCCTAACTCACAAGATATATGCTCCTCATCCCACCGCCCTTTGTAGGCGATTTCTTCAGCATCTGCATCGTACGTATTCCACCCATCCTCAACTCCGTCTTCCAAAAGTTGGGCCTGTCCGGGATAAGGGTCCAGTCGAGGTTGGCCATTTTCAAAAATTGTTGCTGCGACTAGCGATGTCGCTAAGGATAGAAGGCAAAGCATACGCATCATCCTTGGAAATGGATTGATCGTAAGAGGACACATGCCGGGACCGGCTGCTATTATAAATTGGCCCACCGACGGGATTAACGTCTCCCAAACTCCGAACTCCTTTAGGAAGGTAGACCTAAGACGGGCAGCTCGACAAAATGCTGGGTATATGGCAAGCGCGGAATGTAGGGGTGGCGGGCATCATTTATACCCAAACGGCAGAGATTCTCGGCGAAGGATATCATGCGGGGATTTCCCCGTGTTGTTTGTGGAATGACCCTGGCTTGTGCAGCTGCTTGACAACATTCTCTCTGAGGGAAGCTATAGGCCTAGACCGGACTTGACCTGCAACCGAATGAGCGGGGTTTGATGGATACATGACGCTTGTCAAGAAAAAAATATTGATCGACTAACAATACCCTCCGCGAGCTATACAATCCACCAGGAGAATGCCTCCGCTCTGTATAGGGCTTAACTCCCGCTAAGCACAACAACACTAGGAGCTCTCGAAGGCCCATGAGCCCTCAGGATCGCTAGCATCTTTTTCTTCAGTGCTGAACGTTGAGCCCTCCTTGTGGGGTGTTGGGTGCTGATCGCAGGGTTCACGTTTGACACAGGACAAGCATAAACCGGCTTTCTCATCCTCAGCGCACTCCATCAATTTGTCTAGCAGGTGCTGTTTGATATCAACTTTACCAGCACAAGAGCAATAACACTCGTTGTAATACCCATCACAATCGCCCGAACCAGGGTTATAGTTGATGACCGGAAGTTCCGCAGCGGATCGCATGATTTGAGGGAGAGTCTTGTCGCGAAGCTCGACCATACCAGGTAGAATACCAGCCTTCCACAGTACTTGCGAATAGGATCCGAGGAACATCTTCAGTTTCCTGCACTCCTTGGAGGATCTACTTTGGGCGACGGAGACGATATCCATGAGGGCCGTCTCAGCATTGAAGTGGACCAAGGCTTGCTTGATATCAAACTGTTCTGGTGATTCGTTAGCAAAGGGTTGAAGTGATCAACAGTGAGCACACACCTAAAACGTGATGCGGCATGAACTCAAGGTTGTCCAAGGCGTAGTCCCAACTGCTGAAGCTCTGGCGACGCGCAGCCAAAAGCTTGCCGGAAAAATAAGAGAACCTCCCTGGAAGGTCCATCGCGTAAGTGAATAGCAACGCCTTCCAGCAGTCTTCCGGCGACAATCGCGCAAGTTCTTCGCCCCTTGTAATCCAAAGCCAACCGCGGTCGATGATAGCTGGTCGACATGCGTATTTGACAATAAAAACCGCCAGAGACTTCATAGTGTCCGCATCAAGGCTTTCCGGGAGATCAAGTAGTTTGTGGTGTGCCAAGTTGCAAAAGAGACGAAACGTCCCGGGGTCCTCGTCCGGCAACGGAATTACCGGAGGTTCCAGACTGCCAGGTATTCCCTTGATCGCTAGCCCTTCCTTGACTCCGGGTTTGAAAATACCGTAGAACACCGGCGAAGCGAGGGATAGTGCATTGGATGAGACGAGAAAGCTGATATCCGAACAGGCGATCACAATGTCTCCTTCCGGATCGATGACTTCGTTTGACATGATAAAGGATGGGCTATGGGCTGTTGGACTTAAGAGAGCCATTACGTTCATGGCATGGGTGGCGGATTTGATGCTATAATGAGGAACGGGGCACTGAGAAGGAGAAGCAAAGTCAGCTTAGAAAAACAATGAGGGAAGGGAACTGACACCGCGAGCCTCGTCTTTCCCTCGTTCACGGGCAAACAGTTGTTCTTCAGCCATGCGGAAGTGAGGGCCTAAGCCAGCAGCAAGGAGCGCAAACGCCGTGAATAAAGAACATTGCCATAGAAAGTTGAAGCCACTATGAATTTGCTGTTTCATGAAGTCAGAACCGTCGTCCATGCCCTTCACCAGCAGATATCATGCCTTTAGGAAGTAGAAAAGTTGGCATACTGCCAGAACCGTACAAAAGGCAGTCCTATCCATTGAGGGCCAGGCGAGCAGGCCATGGCGTGGGTATGAATTGGGATAAGGCGGGGAGAGCATAAAGAAGTCTGATGGTGAGCAAATTGTTTGTGTTGTCCCGGCGACTCTGCCTCCTTCCTTTCTCAACTCTCTTCTCCGACAAATCTTCATTAACCATCTTCTTGAGACTCACCATTTCCCGGACTCCAATTGAAAACTAATCGAGTTTCCCTGAAAGTATCTCGCGCCCCTCGCAATCCCTGCCGGCTCATAGGCTGAGTCCCCAGCCAACGAAAACAACTACGCTGAATCCGCACCTCCGAAAAAACCATGGATAATATGGAAATCATAGACACCGAAGGGGACGTGATCGTGACTTGCGCTGAGATGGTGTCGTTCCTTGTCTCTAGAAAAGCACTCTCGCTGGCTTCTTCCAAGCTCTGCGCAATGCTCAAACCTCTTATCGAAAGCGAATCTGGCGGTTGCCTAACCCTCTGCCTACCCGATGACGACCCCGAGGCGTTCCGCCTGTTCTTTCAGATTGCCCATCACAGACGGCTGCCTTCACCCGATTCTCCCAGTGCCAATCTTCTACATAGCCTCGCAATCATTATCGACAAGTACCGTTGTCGTGACGCAATGGAACCCTGGGGCCGAATTTGGCTCTCTCAGATTCATAATCGCCGTCGTCCCCAAGAAGATGTCTGGCAGTTTGTGCAGTTTGCATACGTGCTCAAAAACACGAAATCGTTTTTCAGGTATTCCAGAGAACTGTTGTCTTTGGGGCTGGATGAATCCTGCATTACGAATCTTGGATTGATGCCGAACACGACGCTAGGTTGGTCATCACTTCTTCTTACTCTATTTGTGCTCACCCTGCTGATGTTGGATTCGCAAAGGTGCCTTCAAGGAAAAGAAACAACGGATCTCGGATGATGTACAAGTGGCCATCATGGAAACGCATGACAGATTCGCGGAGTTTCAATGTGCGTATGCGAGGTCGTTTCTCGCGGACCATGTTACTGGGTTGAAGACGGCCGGCCTTCTTCCAAGCACAGCGGTCTTCAAAGCAAAGAGTTTCAACCAAATACAACGCGACGCAAAATCTTTACGGCCGTCTAGCTATGAGTGTGCACCTCATGGTCGTTGCCGTTGCTCAGGCCTTTCCGGCTACAAACCCAAGGCATCTTTGAATGATGGTCTAGAGAAGTGCTGGCAGAAAATGGGTCTGTGCTTGCCATGTTTCGATGGATACTGCGAGGAACACCCTATAGTCTCCCAGTAGAATCTTGGTGACCGAGGGATTCTCAGCCATGGGCAAAACGTCAATCCTACTCTTCATTGATACGGTTGAATACTCTCCATGTATTTAGAACGTATCTCATTTCAATCTCTTCGGTGCCTTCGTCCTCGGTAATCGATAGTCTTCAACGCCTCTTTACTGGACGCTATGTAGCTAATCCTCGTACAACCTTTACGCTCAACGTAGGGAAGATTGGGTCCATACTGAACCCGACAGCAAGTCACTGCATCAATGTGGGCAGCCTATTTTGCTGCCTTATTAGTACCAAACTCAGGCCGACAGGTGTGCGGGTATAAAGCAGGATGTTCCTTTTTGTTATTCGCAAGATAATTCGCATTACTGAGCAACATATCAGCGTTGAAGACCTGGCTTTGTTCCATATGCCCTTCAGAGCAAGACATGTCATATACCGTGCTTACTCATCTGCCGCCCAAACCCACCTCCCGCCTAAAAATTGATCTCCATTACTGAGAAAAAATAAAGCTTTTTAATATATATAAAAGGTATAAAAACCTAAAATTTTAGTGGTGTATTTTACACTAGCTAATTACTTTATATATAAATTTAAAACTTTTAAAAATGCTATAATAGCTAGATCTCGCGGCCTTAATAATTTACTATAATTAAGGTATTAAAAATAATTTTAGGGCTAGGGGGGGAAAGTTTTTTTTTAAAAAAGGCTTTTAATATTACTAAGGGCTTATTTTAGCCTAGTTTAATAAATTTAAGGTTATTTTAAACCTATATTTTTACTTATTTAGTTATACAAGCCTTTTTTTTAATATTTTTTTAGCCTTTAACTATGTAGCTTTAAAATAATATTTTTTTATATTTATAGCCTATAAGGCCTTATTTTTATTAATTTATTTTTTTTTTCAGCTTCCTGCTAGTATAGCTTATTTTTTTTTTTAGTAAGTTATATAGCCTTATTTTTTTATTTTTAAAAATTATAAGCTTGCTAAATTTTTTTAAAAAAATAAAATATTATATTACTATTTTTTAGTTCCTGGAGTTAAAATATAAAAAGCTTTTTTTTATTATTTTTTTTATTAATAAAAGTATTTTTAAGGCCTTAAGTTTACGCTTTAGCTAGTATAAACTTTATATAAAAATAATATATTATACTCTTAATTTTTTAAAATTTTTAAGGTATAGGGGCTATTTTTATATTTTTAATAAGGTATTAAATATTTTTTTAATTTTTTACTTAAGGTATTTTTATTAGGGGATTAATAAATACTAAAGTTTTATTTATATTTTTTTTAAATTACTTTAATATACGCTCCGGATTCCAGGGGAATAAGCTAGTTAAACTTTATAAACTTTAAATATTTTTAATTATTAAGGCCTTTATTTAAGCTAGCTAAAATAATTTAAAAAAGTCTTATTTTAATATAGTGCTAAGGCCTTAATAAAAATATATAAATATATTTAATTTATTTATATAGGCCTTAGTAAAAAAAAAATTTTAATATTAAAAGGTTATAAAATATAAGTTAAATAAAGTAAATAAGTAGGTATAAAAATTTTATTAGCCTTATAATAATTTAAAAATCTTATTATTATATAAAAGCCATGGTTATTAAAAATAAAAAGCTTTTAATATTTTTTTATTTATTTTTTTATTTTTTTATTAAATATATTTTAAAGCCACGCGTATTTAAGCTTATTATTTATTTATTTTAAAGGTAATAAGCTAAAAAAATAGTTATAAATATTAATATTAATATTTTAAAGCTAAAAGTCTTATAATTTACTTATAATTAACTAGTAAATAAAACCTAGTAATAATTATTTTTTATTAGCTAATATATAAATAATAATAATTATTTACTTTTTATTATTATTTTATAAATATTACTTAAAGCTTTTTTTATAAAGCTATAACTTTTTAAAAAAAATTTTCTTGCTTTTTATAATAACCTTAATAAAAAACCCTTTTTTATTTATATTATAGGTATTTTTAAGTAGGATATTATATTTATTAATTTTATATTTTAAGTAATTAAAGTATAAAAAGTATTTATACCCTAAATTAGCCTTTTTTTTAAAATATTAATTTTAGTTATATAAGTATTTATAAGTTTATTTTAATATTTAATAAGCTAGTGTAAAACCTAGTTATTTTCTAGCTTTTTTTAAATAATTTTTTTTATAAAGTTTTTAATTATATTATAAAAGTAAAATAAGCCTTTACTAGCCTATTAATTAATATATTTTATAAAAACTTTTAATTATTAAGTATTAAGTAATAACTAGCTTTTATATTACTTTTTTTTATACCCTAAATATTTTTAAAATATTTAAATAAAGTTATATAGTTTATACTAAAGTTTTTAATAATATTTATATATAAAAAATATTTTCCTAGCTTTAAGAATTTAAAATATTTTATTACCTTATTTATTAAAGTAAAAATAGGGGAGTTATAGCTATTTAAATTTTATAAGTAAATATTAGTATAAATATAGTTTGGGCGCTAAGTGGGTTTAGGCGGTAGATAAGTAAGCATGGTACCTCCCCTATCGCCAAGCGCATCCGGCAGAATGCTTAAAGCAGTCCTGTTGGTCTAAACAGGCCAAGCAAAGCCCTTTAAGCTATGAGGCCCTTTGAATACCGTGCAAAGGAAAGCTGTTAATTAAGTAAATACTAAAAAATTAAATAAAAAACATAATAATATTTAAAAGCTAGAGCTAACTAGGGTTTTTATAAATAATTTAAACTTTTAAAAATAATAAAAATTTTAAATACTTTTACTAATACTTTATAATATTTAAAGAATTATAAATATTATAGTTATATAAGTAAGTAATTTAGTAATAAGTATTATAATATTTTAATTAAAATTATTTATAATACCTAAGTATTATTAAAATACTATAATACTTTTTTATTAAATTAAGTAATTTTTATTATTAGTTAACACGCCCCCTTAATACCTACTTACTTTTAAATTAATTAAAAATAAGGCTAGAAATATTTACTAAACCTAGTATTTTAATAAATTTTTAATATTATTATTTAATAAGCGCCTTTATAACGCTATTTATAATTATTTAATTAATAAGGGTTTATTTAATATAAAAGTTTTTATATTAAACTTCCTGCCTAAGCTATAAATTATAAATATTAGTATAATAAAGCTTTAAGTAAAGTTATATATTAATATTAATAAAAATATTAATTATTTATTTATTATTATATTAAATTAAAAGTTAATATTAAAAATTAAATTACATAGCTTTAAAAACTTTTTATTACTAGTATATTACTTTAAAGGCCTTAATAAAAGCAAGTAATTTTATTTTAATAATAAAAATAGTAATTAAACACTGCTTTATAACCTTTTATTTAATTAAATTTTTATATAACTTATAAATATAGCCTATATTAAAAAATTAATTAAAATAATTTATAAATATTATATTAAAATATAACTTATAAATCTTATATTTTTTAATAAAAACCTTATTTTTAAAGCTATTTAAACCAGAGTATTTAAGAGTAAAAAAGCATATATTATAAAAATAAAAAATAAGTTAATTTATTATATATTAATAATAATTTATAAAATTAATAAGGTATTTTAACAAGCGGCTTATTATATAAAAAATATTTAAATAAATAAGGGTACTAGCATATTTAATAAATTTAATTTTTAACCTTATTTTTTTAATATTTTTAAAAATAGCCATGTTAAAATTTAAATAAAACTTACTAGGTAATAAAAGCAAGGTAAAAAATAATTAAATTATAATATTTAAATAAAATTAATTTATAATAACTTTAATATAAAAATTTTAAAAAAGCTAGAGCTTGCGCTAAGGCTTATTTTAAAAAATTTAAATTTTTAAAAATTATTTAGTTTTACTAAAATACTAAAGCTTATATTTTACTAAAATTTTTTTTTAAAAGTAGCTATTATAAAGCGGCCTTGCTTGGTAAAAAGGTTTATAAAAATAAAATTATTTATATATATTAAAAAAATTATTAGCTTACTAGTAAAAAGGTATTTTTTTAGGTATTATAATAAAGCTAAATTTATATAGGGTAATAATTAAATTAAGTTATTAAAAGTAAAATTTTTTAAGGCTATAAATAACTTTAAAAACTTTTAAAAACTTTTTTTCTTGCTTGCGGCTATTTAAAAATTAAAAGTATATAAGTTTATTAAGGCCTATATTAAAAAAGGTATTAATAATATTATATTATTTTATATTTATATTAAAAAAGGTAATAAGTATTATAATAACTTAAAAAAAATAGGTAAAGGCTATAGCTACTTAATTATTTTTATAATTAACTAGTTTAAAATTTTTATATATATAAATTTAAGCTTTAATTTTAAAAAAATAGTTATTTATATTAAACTTATATATAAATACTTATAGTAGGGGGATTAGCTTATTTAAATTTATTTTTTATTTATTAATTACCTTTTATACTCCTATTTTTTTAAGTTTATTTAATTTAAGGTTAATAGCTTTAAAAAATATATTTTTAAGTAAATAATTTTTAAAATTCTTTTAGTGCTTGGGAAAAGGTGGTAATTTATTTTAATAAAAATATTTTTTTTAGGGTTTTAATAAAAAGTAAAAAAGGTAAATTATATATAATTATAAAAAATAAAATTAAAAGTAATTATAATAATAATATAGCTTATATAGCTTGTTAAAGCACCTAAATAAAACTTAAAGTTTTTTTAATTACTTTAAAATACTAGCCTTTATTTAGTTAATTATTTAAAAAAAATAATAAGTTTAATTCTTGGTTTTTTACCTCCCCTTATATTTTTAATAATAAAATAAATAAAAGTTTAAAAGCAGGCTTGCTTTACTTTTTATAATAATTATTAATTAACTAGGTTTAAAAATAAATTTTTTTAAGTTTAAAAGCATGTAACCTATTATAAAGGTTATAATAATTTATTAAAAAAATTAGTTAATATTAATTTTTATATAAAAATTTTATAATAATAAGAT